CCAAATCTTGCCGTCACTTATCACAGAACACCAAATCTTGCCGTCACTTATCACAGAACACCAAATCTTGCAGTCACTTATCACACTTCACAGAAACCAAATCTTGCAGCCACTTATCACAGAACACCAAATCTTGCAGTCACTTATCACACTTCACAGAAACCAAATCTTGCAGTCACTTATCACAGATCACCAAATCTTGCAGTCACTTATTACCGGAACACCTTAAATTTTAGACACATCTAGGTCAGTGTTTGGATCATGTCAACAATGTCACGTGATTCCGGAAGGTGGGAGAGGTGGGAGGGGGACAAAATACACAGAGCTAGTCATTCCCAACTGATCCACTTTGACTCCGTTGTAACAGACAGGCACAGAAGGTCTGCCTACCTGTTGATATGCTCTGATGACTAATACAGCGTTTCCCCAAACATTTTTTTCTTCCCTATAGTCCGGTTAGCCGTGGCCCACTAAAGTTTTATATCTTTTATACTGGCCTTTATGAAACACAAAACAGATTTGAATGTTAATACACATTTTAATGTATTAAAATATTTAGAGTTATTGACTAGAAATTGCAGATTCAATTAAACTAGATCCTGGTCAATGATTTGTTTAAGAGAATGAGTTGTTTAAGAGAGTGATTTGTTTAAGACAATTTAAGAGAATGATTTGTTTAAGACAATTTAAGAGAATGATTTGTTTAAGACAATTTAAGAGAATGATTTGTTTAAGACAATTTAAGAGAATGATTTGTTTAAGACAATTTAAGAGAATGATTTGTTTAAGACAATTTAAGAGAATGATTTGTTTAAGACAATTTAAGAGAATGATTTGTTTAAGACAATTTAAGAGAATGATTTGTTTAAGACAATTTAAGAGAATGATTTGTTTAAGACAATTTAAGAGAATGATTTGTTTAAGACAATTTAAGAGAATGATTTGTTTAAGACAATTTAAGAGAATGATTTGTTTAAGACAATTTAAGAGAATGATTTGTTTAAGACAATTTAAGAGAATGATTTGTTTAAGACAATTTAAGAGAATGATTTGTTTAAGAAAATTTAAGAGAATGATTTGTTTAAGACAATTTAAGAGAATGATTTGTTTAAGACAATTTAAGAGAATGATTTGTTTAAGAGAAGTGTCATGATTTTCTCGTTAACTAACAGCTCAAATATGAGCAGAGGAAAAAAAAGGTGATATATTCAATTCTTAGATCGTGCCCTACTTCTTGAAAACCATTTGAAGAAACAGATTTTCTCTTTTTTAAAATATTTTGTCCCCCCTCCCACCTCTCCCACCTTCCGGAATCACGTGTCATATGTGTCTGTCATGTGTCATACGTGTCTGTTATGCATCTGAGTGTCATGTGTGTTATGTGTCTATCATATGTATCATATGTGTTTAAAGCTAAATGAAAAAAATAGTAACATAACATGCCAATTTTGTTTCTGATACTAGTGTATGTATAGAGTAAAGGTCTCACTTGATATACTCTATGCATAGAGTATAGGTCTCACTTGATATGCTCTATGTATAGAGTATAGGTCTCACTTGATACCATCACCGCACAACTCTATAAAAAATCAAGTGTGTGACTTATCCACTAACATGACAAAGACGTAAACAGCACTGTGTCAGTAGACCAGGCTAGTACCTTGGGCTAAAGCAAATAGGGTATTGTCACCAGAAATTAACATGTGAGTAAAAATATTCAGAAATTCTGTTTAGTAAATGTTGGTTAAGATTTGACCCAGAGAAAAAGACTGGACAATGCTAAATATAACAGTCGTAAATAACAAGAGTTCAAGAAAATAAACTGAATGCTTGCAAGAATATTTAATAATTCTTTTGTTAGGGTTAAACGATTCTTTATTTTACTTGTTAACAGATACTGATAACTTTTCATGCCTTCATCAAAATGTTGCTACAGAGACCAGACTTTTAATCATGACATCAAAATGTTGCTACTAAAACCTGACTTTTTAAACATAACATTATTTTTGACATCAAATGTAGCTAAGGAAAATAAACTTTAAACAAGAAAATGGTTTCCAAATGTTGCTACAGAAACCAGACTACATTATATCCAAATGTTGCTAGTGAAACCAGACTTTTAAACATGACATCAAATGTAGCTAAGAACACAAGACTTTTTTTTTTTTAAATGGTATTCAAATGTTGCCATAGGAACCAGACTTTTAAACATGACATCAAATGTAGCTAAGAACACAAGACTTTTTTTTTTTTAAATGGTATTCAAATGTTGCCATAGGAACCAGACTTTTAAACATGACATCAAATGTAGCTAAGAACACAAGACTTTTTTTTTTTAAATGGTATTCAAATGTTGCCATAGGAACCAGACTTTTAAACATGACATCAAATGTAGCTAAGAACACAAGACTTTTTTTTTTTAAATGGTATTCAAATGTTGCCATAGGAACCAGACTTTTAAACATGACATCAAATGTAGCTAAGAACACAAGACTTTTTTTTTTTAAATGGTATTCAAATGTTGCCATAGGAACCAGACTTTTGAACAAGACATAAAGTGATAAAGCTTTGACAAATTAACCTCTTTCTGAGTTAATAGATATAAAAAAAATAGCACCATTGAAATGATTAGCTCAAATGTCAAAAGTTTGTATGTCTTTATGTATTGTTTAAAATGTATTGCCTTGAAAGTACTTTGTATGTTTCTCTTTATGATTAAATAAATATTTTTGTTTTTAAAAAGAACCTTGGTGCTGTCTTTGTTTCCTGTAGGAAAATGTTCCCACAAGTTGAGGAAGTCCTGTTTTCCTATTAAGAAAACAGGAAAAAAGTATCATGTCAGGAAGAAAATTAAAACCAAATTAAAATCGTAATGTTCCATTGGGTAAACCCAGTGAGGGCTCACTTCTATGCATTTGATGATGGAGCCTTTAAGTAGCTGGTTTCAATGTTATTTTGTCCTGAAGGAGAGTGATGGGTTTTTTTTTTAAATTTTAAAAATAAACATTTTCATTTTTGTTACTATAAAAAAAACAGATAATGGAAAATATTAAAAATTTAGAAAATCTGAACTTTAAAGAGATATACAATTTTAATTGACTGAGCCAACATAGACATGTCATAATTATACTAACCAACATAGACATGTCATAATTATACTAACCAACATAGAAATGTTATAATTATACTATCTACCAATCATACAAAATCATTATTTAAAGTTCCAAACCAAAAGGTATTGTATTGCTTTCAATTAAAAACTACACAAAGCAAAAACTTGTTTTAAAGAAGGTCTGAAGTGAACAGGGGGGGGGGGGGCAAGCAGGGCAAAATTGGCAGAAAGAGAATATTAAAATCAATAAATCATTAATTTAATGAAAAGCAAGGCCATTACATTAATTTAATGAACAGCAAAAGATATTACATTAATTTATGAACAGCAGAGACATTACATTAATTTAATGAAAAGCAAGGGCATTACATTAATTTAATGAACAGTAAAGACAATACATTAATTTAATGAACAGAAAAGACATGAGAATAATCTAATGAAAAGCAAATGCATTACATTAATTTAATGAACAGAAAAGACATGGCATTAATTTAACAGCAACCGATGACACATCAGAGTGTTTTTTTTCATCAAAGATTATAAAAGGATCACATCAATAAAAAAAACTTCAGTGTATGTCATGCTTACATTACACCTCATGACAATAAACTGCTGTTTCTATAATGTTTACATTACACTTCATGACCTAGTGTCAGGTGAATAGAACAGAGAAGTTCTCCATCTCTTTATTTATTTATGTAAGAAAGTAAAAATATGCAACATAGATATACAAGATTTAGTGCGTTGCATACACAATTTGGGAATCACCTACTGTTTTCAAATAGATGACAGAAACAATGACTTTCTTTACTCTCTCAACCAGGACTTCATGTCATTTTAATTTTTTGTGAAGTAATAAATACATATTATTTTAAGAGGGCGTGATCTTGGGTGCATTCTGTCATTTTTTTAAAACCAGGAATCCACCCCTGCTCTCATCCAAAACAACAAACTGATAAAACCAAAAAGAGCTGATTTCCTTTACTCCCTAAACAAAACAAAAAATTGATAGACATACAAAAGATGGTGCTTTATTTACAAATTTTAATGCTAATTCAGGATCCCCAGAAGACGATGGCATTTCTGAATTGGTAATTGAATTTAATTTTCTGACATTTCCATGACAAGACATTTGTGTCTAAGCGCGCCATATCGAAATTTATTTCAAACATATGGCAATAATAAACAACATTGCGGATAAAATTCATTACGATTTCATTCAAACATAAAACATTGTCTCAACTGTAGGCTTACAGTATATGAGCATGCATTTATGACTTACACATTGAATTAAGTAGACACATAAAATTGAATTACTTAAAACTGAAAGCATCATTTACAATTTGTCTCAGTTACTTTTCCATCTCTTTAAGAATGTGACTACAAAAATGAGAAACTGTATCAGACCAACCACATGATTTCATGACAGTAGATGACTTTGGACAACATCAAAAAAAAACAATTGTTTCGCTAAGATACGACACATTTGTTTTTCCACATTGATATAAAATCACATTTAAACACACCAAAATGTATGTGTTGTAACTGGCATATTACATTATACCTAGAAAATTAAGTAGAACAATCCAAATTAGTGCATTTAACACCCCCACCCCGGGCACATTTCCCAGGGAATGCAGAAGGACCCAGAAATATTTGATGCAAAGACACTACAAATCTTTTTAAAAAAACATATCGTGAGAAATAAAAAGATATAAAATGAAAGCCGATTTTATTTTTCGGCGGCTAAAAGGTTATGTATATGAGTCACATTGTTTTTGTTAAATTGATTTGAGAAGGGAAACTACCGTCACGGAATTATTTTACTATTTATTTATTTAATTACAATACATTTTATTTGGGTGTGNNNGGGGGGGGGGGGGGGGGGGGGAAATAGAGGAAAAGTTCTGAAATCAATGAAAGGCTGCAGAGCTGAAAAAAGTTTAAGAGCATATGACCTGCAATGAACACAAACATGAAATCAAAAAAAAAAAAATCTAAACAAAATAATTGAATTAGTCAATGCACAAAACCCTTACAGTTACCTCTGATAATGGAGTATTCCTTTACTCTATTTAGACGCTGAATTGATTTTACTAGAAATGTGATTTAATCACAGGCTACATTAGTCGGGATAAAATTTTGTATTTTTCATTTATTTACATCACACTAAAAAATTGTGTTTAAATATGGCACAATGGAAAAACATTTTTTTAAAAAAAAACCTACTAAATATATCACAATATTTTTTGCACAACCTTTTCCCAATGATCCCACTTGCATAAGTCTAAAATTTACTATAGCAAGTGTGACCCATAGTGCATCTACAATCTGAACCCAAAAAAGCATGAAAAATATAGCATGTGCATTTGCTCTCTTATACAGTAGAACCCGCTTAACTGGCCAACCCTTTATGTCGACGTTTTTGAAGTTGACCCCCCAAATTCTCTAGTTGTCTCAGCATTTTCTCCTGGGTTATGTTGATTCTTTTATGTAGACGACCCTGATATCTCAAGCACAAAAGGCGGCCGAATTTGCCACTTAACCTGGGTTATCTCAATCCCCATGACCAATCGCCGGTTTTTGAAAATTATATACAAAAGAAACGTGCCTGCTTCAAACTGTAGTGATTGAAATTAAACGACAATATCATTGTCCGCGCAACTAACTTGACACAGAAAGAAGCGAGGAGAGGCTTGCAAACAAAAGGTCGCTGTCCCTGTTATATTTATACGAACCCAATTGACACTTAATATAGGCTTTCACACGTTCTTACAGGTTAATTTTTATTTTAAAACCCAGAATCCATATTTTAATAAACTGAACTGGCTTAAATATTTATACGAACCCAATTGACACTTAATATAGGCTTTCACACGTTCTTACAGGTTAATTTTTATTTTAAAACCCAGAATCCATATTTTAATAAACTGAACTGGCGAATCCGGAGCCAGAGAAAATAAAAATTCGCAAATCCTGAGCTGAAAAATATTTAGCATCACGAATCCGGAATTTGGCTTAATTGAAAAAGCAGCACCTCAGGCAATAAGGAAACACCAGGCTACTAAAACCAATCATAATTTCATTTACTGCAATTCATTGTGGACAAGCCATTTATTTAAAAAAAGGTCACAGAATGGTTTTCTCCCTTGCTTGAGCATAAGAGGGCAATACCTTATTTTAATGTTTATTAAAGATCCCATAGTTATGACGATAGCATGTTATTTTTAATTTGCAATGGAAACATTTTTATAACATCTGTTTACCATTATATTTATGTTAAAAAAGGGCCACGTTACTCCCCAAGTTACAGTGCAACCTATCTGCGAGTCAATCGCAAATACCCACTTTGACAACCCTAAAACTAAGGGTGCAACCTGTCCACAAATAGATATGATCCATGCCAACATAATAAAATGTTCATTTAATTTTGAAGATCATACAAGAAATAAAACAATGTAGCAAATAAGCCAGCAACTTATTGGAGAAGCTGAAAGTGTGTCAAAGTGTAACATAAGGATTCATCTTTAGTTTGGTTTACTTTGGGAATGGAAAGAAGTAGCTGTGGCGTTCATGTATCTCAGTGTCACAGAATGATTAAAGGAGAGGGGTCCAGCCCATAATTGCGATATACTTTGTCAGAGTGAGTAGAAGAGGTTGTCTACGTTCACTCCTTTCAATCCAGTGAGGAAAAATAATGCCATCGTCATCTCCCAATACGTTGAAAAAAAACAATGTCATCTGTCATCTCCCAATATGTTGAAAAAAAACCAATGCAATCTGTCATCTCACGATACACTGAAAACAACAATGTCCTGATACACTGAAAAAAACCAATGTCATCTGTCATCTCCCAATACACTGAAAAAAAACAATGTCATCTGTCATCTCCCAATACACTGAAAAAAAACCAATGTCCTCTGTCATCTCCCAATACACTGAAAAAAAACCAATGTCCTCTGTCATCTCCCAATACACTGAAAAAAAACCAATGTCCTCTGTCATCTCCTGATACATTGAAAAGAATGGTGCTATAAAATCTTTGTGTTACGCTTGTGTCTCTCTAGATTCATTTGCAATAAATTCTAATTATTATAAACTTGTAGATACAACTCAAGTCCTAGATTTTATGCCTTGACTGTGTGTAATTTATTCTTCTGCTCTACGCTGTCTGTGAGGCTATAGCAAACTTATTCTCTGCTCTCTTAAGTGATATCCTGATAGTGAATCCCCAAACTAAATATGAAAAAAAATCACATCAAATATTGTCTTGCCTTTTGTACTAATGTAAAAAGTAATACAGCTATTTTAAAGCTTTTTGAAAAATAAAACATCACTGGATCAACAAGAAATATTTTACTACTTCTTTTGCTCACAAAAGAAAACATTGACATTTGTAGCCATTTGTAGACCATGCCACTGTTAATAAACGATCTCATTTTCCCATGTCAATTTTAAAGCAATTAAATTGTTCATATTTCTTATTTTTTTGTTGTATGTGTCAATGTCTAAATTTTGTAGTGTAAATTAACAGGTAAAAGTGCCTCCTCACTGTTGCTATTACTGGGGTCCTCTACGTGTTCAGTGTCTGTGAAGTCCCTGTGTGAGCCAGGCCCAACATTCATGTAGTCCAACTGTAACCTGCTGGTAGGAATATCCACAACATCCATTGCATCATCCAGTTCACTCTCATCTTCCACCGGTGACAAATTTATTTCACTAGGACCTGGCATATCCAGTGCTTCTTCATACGACGGTGGCATATCAGAGCCTCCTAGTGACACAGCATCTCCTTGGTCAGTTGTTAGACCTTGTGTGCTGTCTAGTAACGTACGACAAAGTGGAGTATTATTTTTAGGATGTGATGACTGTGGTGAAAGAGATGGGCTATTGCAGCTAATGTTCCCTTTTCTCTTATGGCTAGCTTGGGATGATTGGCTGGTCTGTTTATGATGTGCATGCAGAACTTCATTGGATGCTGTGACATCCCGAGACCGGAATCTCTCAATGCGGCCATCATTGTGTACAAAGGCGATCTCTGCTCCACTGGTACTTGACCTCTGGTGAACTTCTTTACAATTTAAATAGAAATATGAAAAAAAAATTAGACAACGTCAAGTGTGGCCGAGTTCTGCTTAAAACATTTAGAAGTATAATGACAAATATAAAGCTAATTGATAAAGCCAAATAATTTTGATTCAAATGATGAGTAAAAATTATTTATACAAATTATTCATATAAATCATTCATACAATAACTAGTCTATAATTTTCTAATTAAAATTAACAAAGATTTCCTTCACACTTCACTGGTATTCCTGAAACTTAACTTGTTTTTCCTTCACACTCCACTTGTTTTCCTGACAATTTTCATGTATACCTTATAATTCACCTTATCACCCTGATATTTCGACTGTCTTCCACTGACAAAAAGCCAGTTTTAACCTGATATTTCACCTTAAAATTCAAACATTTTTTCTTAGACTCTTCTAATTTAGAAAAATATTTTATTTTATTTTAAATAAAAACTTCAACAACTGTGACTTCACAGATGAAATGGATTCACTTAGAGGCTACATGGAGGCTCTTTGGATGGAATGGATTCACTTAGAGGCTACCATGGAAGCTCTTTGGATGGAATGGATTCACTTAGAGGCTACATGGAGGCTCTTTGGATGAAATGGATTCACTTAGAGGCTACATGGAAGCTCCTTGGATGGAATGGATTCACTTAGTAGAGGGTACCATGGAAGCTCTTTGGATGGAATGGATTCACTTAAAGGCTACATGGAAGCTCTTTGGATGGATGGATTCACTTAGAGGCTACATGGAAGCTCTTTGGATGAAATGGATTCACTTAGAGGCTACCATGGAAGCTCTTTGGATGGAATGGATTCACTTAGAGGCTACCATGGAAGCTCTTTGGGTGAAATGGATTCACTTAGTAGAGTTAGTAGAGGGTACCATGGAAGCTCTTTGGATGAAATGGATTCACTTAGAGGCTACATGGAGGCTCTTTGGATGAAATGGATTCACTTAGAGGCTACATGGAAGCTTTTTGGATGGAATGGATTCACTTAGAGGCTACATGGAGGCTCTTTGGATGAAATGGATTCACTTAGAGGCTACATGGAGGCTCTTTGGATGGAATGGATTCACTTAGAGGCTACCATGGAAGCTCTTTGGATGGAATGGAGTCACTTAGAGGCTACATGGAGGCTCTTTGGATGGAATGGATTCCCTTAGAGGCTACATGGAAGATCTTTTACTAAACCATGGAAATGGAAGTACATGTAATTCAGTAATGGTCAAAGGTCAAGGCTAGGGGAGTAATCTCATGTTTGAAAACTCCTATGGTGCAATCTAAGCCAGTTTCTTTGTAATCTGTGCATTTTAAGATGATTTAATTGTCCCTAATTCTAGAAAATCATGGAACTGCACAGACTTTATTCTTTGAGCTCTCAAATATAATAAATTGTAACACTACAAAACAATTCAGCCTGTGGCTATCGAAATTTCAAGTGATGCTCTCAGCAACTTAACAAATATTTTGGTGGCCAATAATGTTAAAAATTATTGGACTGCACTGCAATAGAGGCTAAATCTTGACACTATTTCAGACAACTTGAACCTAAGTAAAACTAACCTCCGGGTCGAATGAAAACAAGATCAGGTTCCTCCAGGGGTTCTTGCGAGTTAAAAATGTTGATAGCTCTAGCCATTGCCGCCTCAACTCTACGCTCATGCCAGCTGTGGGACAGGCGTGTAATGTATTTGAACAGCAGCAGCCCAGCCATCACAACAACAATGACTACCACAAAGCCGACGATGATGAGAATATGCAATTCTAAACCAGATTTTGGCGGATTTTCTGAAATATCAATGAATTAGTCACATTTTTAGGAAACTGAATAATCTAGCTGTTTAAATTTCAACCTTTGTAATTTTCCGATGGCACTGAGTCTTGAAATTAACTTGTTGAATCAAATAGAATTATTATTTACCTGCCATTGAGACACAGTCTTTAATTAACTTGTTGAACCATACAGAATTATTATCGTATCCATAAATTTATATATATAGTAGAAAAAAACAATGCGTTCAAAAAGAAATTTGACACAACATTAGATCGTGTAAACTGAAAAAAGAATTTGACCAAATTTCTGTTTGATTGAATTTCCGTCTATCAATTTTACGTCTACGAAATTTCTTTCAAACAAATTTCCGGTAACCAATTATTATTTACTTGCCAAAGAGACATTGAGTCTAGAATTAACTTGTTGAATCAAACAGAATTATGATACACTATTTACCTGCCATAGAGACATTGAGCCTAAAATTGACTGCTTGGCTGCTCATTTGTTCGTTGATCAGACTGACAAGAATAAAGTTCTTGGGTTGTGTGTAAAGAGAACCAGGGTTTCTGGTATTACACTTGCTCATGAACTGAAAGATAATTTTGTCACATTGATAGGAGCATCCCACTGAATGAGAAAACATTAAAAACTGAATTATTCAGACGAATTATTAAGTGAGGATGTAGTTGGTATAATACTAAATATAGGTCATCAAAATGTGCAAGTAAGAAAAAAAATTTAAAATAATTTTTAAAAAAATAAAAATTTGGGATAATAAATTTGATTACATTATCAAAGTTTTGTGTCAAAGGATTTTGGTGTTGTCTTTATCTGGCATCAAGCCTATTTTTTTCTTCAGACATTTTACATTAGTGGGTTACTAAATTCAGAATTCAAGCTGCAACTTTTATTAATCTTGTAAAATGGATTAACCTTTGGTATGACTTTTATAATAATGGTAACAAGGAAATTATTAACAACTATTCGTTTATAATTTGTACATACAATTTCCTTATTATCAAGTGAGGATTTAAAATCACTGTTTAAAGATTCATTTATCTGCAAGCGTATGGAGCAATCTTCAATGTAAAGAAAGTCAAAGTGCAGTCGAATTCGTGCCTCTTTCTTGTCTGATGCAACACCAAATCTAAGATGGCAACTTTGAGTCAACTCAGAATTTTTCCCTGTCACCAGTGCACTTGTTTTTTCAGAAAGCCAGTGGATCTTGTTTGAAGGCTTGTTACATAATTTTAAATCACTCATAGAAACTGAAAGAGATGTAAATTAAACAAAATGTATGTTGATTTTTTTCCTGTAACCACCTCATAGTTTATAATGCTGAAAACTTTTAGTGTTTCAATATCTGTGTAAGTAGGACTTTGTGAATTTTTCATTGACACATTGATATATAAAATAGAGTTTCTTGGTCATAGCAAAAATAGCAAAAGACGAGCTTTCTTGTTGATGACACATTAATTGGGGGGGGGGGGGGGTGAGCACAGAGAACTCTAATTGATAACTAATAAGCCATTCATAAGAAAATGATTTGCCACTGATTCCAAATGCTCCTCATATTTAAATCAGTCTCCATTATTCTTGGGATTACAACTCTTATCTAACATTTGACATTTCATATCATCTATTTCTGTATTTTTTTAAAGGTTTTTAATATTAAACCAAGTTCTCTGTAGAGTAAGCCATATTCATGGCACTTTGCAACCAATAAGATGTTTCCAGTATTTTATAAAGCATAATTTAACAAGTTCAGATTTGAATGTTACAGAATTTACTTTCTTTTAACATCAAAAGACTAAGTACAACTGGTACAAACTGTTCAGTAAGATCAGCATTTCTCCAAGAAAAATGGTTTACTTGTGCACCACTTTAACATTATTTTTATTAACCTCCATTGCCCCTTTCCTGTTATAATATACAAAATTCAGCTCATTTTAATTACATAATATCCTTTATTCCTTTGTTCATGGTTCCCAAGAAATATGCTATGGCCCCAAGAATGCTATATAGCCAACATTTAGAACTGCTGAGTTATAGTTGTGAAATGACAACAGATACAAATTTTTCAGTTAGAGTCTAGGGGTACAAAGATTCCTCACCAGAAATGGGTAAATCTGTAAGATAACTTGGACTCCACATCAGTAAGAATGTTAGCATTAGTAAGGCATGTGAACTTCCCCATCTCCTACTCATTTTAGGAATCGAAGGCTCAAGACTATAGTGTTTCCTAACTAGGCAAGTAAAAAAAAAATGAAAATATGTAGCTAAAAAGCAAATGACAAAATATACAATAGGTTTTAGTATAAACATATACCATGCAAGACTGAGTCAAACAATTTGTAGCGGGTGCAAGAAAAGTGCTCTTTGTGAGATATTTTAAAGTCTCGTTTACAATACCCTTTGTCAATATTTAACCATATTCCTCTTTGATCGAAAGAAACCCATTTATATATTTAAAATATGACATTTACTTTACTTTGTAAAAATAAAAAGTCATTGGCCAAAAAAATCAATACTTGTCACAAAATTAAAGCTTCTTACTTTCGGAAATAAAAAACACACATCCACTACTTAAGCAAATATCTATATTAAAAAATTTCTCAATCGTATGATAAATTAAAAAAATAATAATTTAAAAATTTGTTGTAATCTATTTATAACTGAAACTAAACTATTGTGGTTTTAGCTCACCACAAACGGGACAAAGTTCCAAAAACCAATACTGTCCTGTTAAAAAACAGTAGTCAGTAGGCTTGAGTAGGCATGGACATGGTAAACTTAAATATGACTATAACTTATACTTATAACTATAGTCAGTAAGTTTTAGACTTGTCATTAAAAAGCTACAGTATAGACATACTAAACTAAACTAAAATTATACTCACAAATTCAGATATAGGCCTACTAATGACTAAGCTTCTCTAACTTTGAGTATACTTACTTACTCCTGACTATGAAAAATACTGAAGAATAGACACCTGGCCCATCTCTTACTCTTACACATACAGTAAAATCTCAGAGTCTAAGATGATTTTTTGGTAAATAATTTAGTTTTTTACACTACTAGCAGCAGTAGTTCAGTTGACTGAAGTACTTAACTTGTTCAGTTAGTGTGTGCACTGTGACTATCTGAGGTGGTGTATAATATAGATTTTTATACAACAAATATCAACAATCAAGAATCAGAACAGGAACAGGCGAAGCCTAAATTTTTCACAAATATTCAATTTCTAAAGATTGGAGCTGAATAATAATACCATATACTTACTTCATTTCTGATAATATGTTAATTAGGATGACAGTTTGAGCCCCCCCAGAGTTGTTAACACTAAACCCACACATATTACTCTTTTTGTTTTGTTTTTATCATCTACATTGTTATTTCCGGATGTGGATGCACCGACGTCACCATCGAAAATTTCGGGCAATTTTAGACTAAACTTTAAAATACTGGAAAAAAATAATGTATCTCAAAATTAAATAAAACTCTATTTTTCGTTATTTCCCTAGAGAAATTGAATTTTCTGCAAAGCATCATTTGATTTTACTAACAATTACAAATCATTATTATGAGATATCGGAACTCATAATGCCTAAGGCGTATTTAGACTTTTATTCTGACTAAGTTAAATTGAAATATTAGGTCGAAAAAAAGGAGGGAAGTAAAGTAGAAAAAAAAAAAGCCTTCAACTAGGAGATAGTCATCAAAGACGAAAATAGATATTTTCTTTTGATGAACCCGCCATCACTAATTTTTTTTTTTATTTGACAATTTATCAAAATATTTTTTTCTTAAATTAGGACCAAAAATTGAATTGATTTGAAAATCTAAAAATTTGTTTTTAAAAACTGGAGAAACGGTCCCCTCGTTGCATTTTGAAAGCAAATCAAATTTCCAAAAAAATATTTCAATATTCATTAACAATATTCGCAGCATAATGTCTCTAGAAACGTGAGGCCCTCTAGAGACGTGATGTTCCCTAGAGGCGATAGGCCCCCCTAGAGCAGTGCCGTCTTAAGGCATGGGCCCAGTGAGCACTGGCCCAGGGCCCCGCGCAGGGAGCCCCACGTTTCTAGGAGATTCACTATTACAGAAGCATCATGATTTACATAGTGTTAATGAATATTGAAAGATTTTGACAATTTAATTGGATTTAAAATACCCACTTTCCAATTTGAACCCACGATATGTATCAGCACATTCCAAAACGTAAAGCCAAGAGAAGGTGTCAAGAATTGGAGTATAGTGATGGTAAGAAACGGAAACGAAATCGAATGGTCCGTCTAAGTTAGGGTGACCAAATCATGATTTGGAAAAAACGGGACGCTTTCAAGGACGGTTGTTTTGTTGTTTTTTTGTTGTTTTTTTTGGTGGGGGGGGGGGCGGGGGCGGGGGGGGAAATACCCCCCGGTTAAGGAGGGACCCGGGAGCCTCGGCCGGGAACTGCTTATTGAAATATGCTCATTTTAACTATGAAATCTAACCTAGAAATCTAATTGGGGCACTCACTCTTTTCCTATGTTTCACTGATGTGATGTGTTTTATGTCTGAGCGTCCACCATGACCAATAATAAAAACATTCTTGCAAACTGTGCACTCGGCTTCACTTTCATAGCGTCCCTTTTTTTAAATAGTTCCACTCGTTGGAATACTCATCCATAAACTTACAAAGACGGTTGGGCATAATTATTGTTTAGGCCTACGTGAGAAGATAATATAAAATTAAATAATAAAGTTCAGCACCCAAAACAAACACCTGTCACTCCGACACGAACAAGCGGGAGGGATCACACATAAGACTAACACCTTACACGTAGCGGTCGTGGAATCAAAATTGTTTTCTGCACATTACATCCTCCCCCCCCCCCCTTGCGGCTTCAAGTCTCGTGTCTTTCGCTATACATTTACATATAAAATCAATTGCAGGGACACTGGTGGAGAGGGAGCCATCACGCGAGCCCTCATCCCTACTGGCACTGGCGACACAGCTAGCCAAAATAGTAATTGACGTTATATTATAAATTAGGAAGTTTTAGTGATTTGAATATGTGTTTGGTTTTAAAAAAACGGGACATTTAGGCGTCCCGAGAGACTTTTTCGGGACAACGGGTACGATCATGAAAAAATGGGACAATGCCGTTTTTACGGGACGTTTGGTCACCCTAGTCTAATTAGATATGATGAACCAGAAGAAGGGACAGATCTATCTAAATATGAGATAAGTGAATCGTTCAAGATCGAAACTTTTGTCCCTATTTTGGACTCCCTGAACTCTGACCTGACACGACGTACACACGCTTATTCTTGGAATGGAAATCTGTTTTCCTTCTTTACGAAATTCCGATGTATCCGGAAATTTGTTTGAAAGAAATTTCCTTGATGGAAAATTGATCGACGGAAGTTTGGTTGAACGGAAATCTGATCGAATTTTATTTTCAGTTCACACTGACACACAATCAAATTCTGCGTCAAATTTCTTTTGAACGCATGGCATTATTTTGTTTTTCTTTATAGTATAATTTTCCGTCGACGAAATTTCTTTCCAACAAATTTCCGGTAAACGATTCCGATGAGCTAAATAAAAAGTGTGAAGATCTAGCTAATATGTATCACAAAGACCTTAATAATGATGAACTATGAAATTAATGCAAGCATCTCAAGAACTACCTGGTTCTTGATGAAAATTTTGACACTATCACTGTTTGGTTTGAACAAATAATTACAGACAACTTGATATCTATATTTCCTAATGTTGAAATTACACTCAGAGTGTTCATGCCCATGATGATAACCAACTGTACAGGGGGACGTTCATTTTCAAGATTGAAGCTCATAAAGAATCAGCTATGGGAAAACAACGTTTGAACTAGATTTCACTTATGTGCATGAAAAAAATGACAACCTTTTAATTTTAAGACCATTGACTTTAAACCAATAATAAAACAATTCTCTGCACACACAAAATTTTTAAAAAATACACAAACGATTATGTTGAGTTATATTAAATAATTTATTCTATCTATCTGTCAATAATGATAAAGTATCATCCTGTGTGATTATTTATTATTTATTATTGTTTCTAATAATGTTTTAAAACTATCATTGATTTTGAACAATTTTGTTCTTTGTATCAAAAAATTAAATTCCCCGAAGTGTAACTTTATTGAAAGTTTATTTTTAGTTTACATTTTTTTTCCTCTTGGTGACTTGGTGGGGAGCAGGATCTCCCCCCCCCCCCACTGTTTGAGCATGAGGCGAGTTCCTAAATTTTTTTTTTGTTTTCCTTTTTTTTCCTCTTGGTGACCTGGTGGGGGGCCGGGTCCCCCCCCCCCCCCCGTTTGGGCCTGGGGGCGGGTCCCCCCCTTCCCCCCCCCCCCCTTCTCACGGCCCAGGTGTGTTCTGTTGCTAGGAGGTCCCAGTACATTGCTGTGTCCAGGGCCTCCTCTGTTGTTAAGACGGCCCTGCTCTAGAGGTGCGGGGCCCTGCGAAAGTGTCCAGTGCCAAAGGAACCAAATACCCATTCAATGCTTGCACTTATTTTTATAAACGTGTATATATATATCTATATATATTAACTGACAAACCGCATATTAGCTATTTAGCCCAGATGCCCATATAACTCAGCGCCACAACTCACTCGACGCAACCAGGCAGCAGTAAGCCTATATCTATTAAATGCTTTTTGTTACGGTAAGGGTATCAGTACCTTTAAAAAATAATATTAATATATAGTAACAATTTTTTTTTTTAAAAAATTCAAAGCATTTCTCTGCGTAGATTAACGCAATACTAAATTCAGGTAGGTGCAAAAATGAATCCTTATATTTTAAATTTAACAAACATGTTCGTGGAGGTGCTAAATGAGCCCTCTGCCCCCACTTTGACTTGGGAGCCTTCGGAGCCGTTGTTTTCCTTCTCTGTTCCATTCCCGGTGCAATTTAGTGCATATGACAGGGACAGCACTATTTCAAGGTTCATTATTACAATGTCTCTCTACGCCAGGCCTGCACAACTCAAAATGTAGGGTGGGCCGTAATACTTTATGAAAAACTTGTGCGGGCCAAAAGAAAATAAGAATGGACTTGTGCGGGCCAAAAGAAAATAGGACATGGGAAAAGCTATAAAGAAAATAATAAGAATAAAGAATAGTTCATTACCTCGCGGGCCACAAAAGTTGGTGCTGGCGGGCCGTATTAATGTTGTGCAGGCCTGCTCTACGCTACTGCCCAAAATTGTCCCCCAGATACATGGACATCGACATTAACTCATGGGGAAACACTATTTTAATATTAGGTGTAATGACATGCTGCCCGTGAACGGTTTACTCGCTATCAAATCGTCCAGTGAACCCTTTTGGGTGGCCACTCTTTGACTTTGGTTGTTTCTCTGTTGAAACAAAGGGGAAGTAATGACATTATTTTTAAAAATTTCAGCGACAATTTGTTTCATTTCGTCCAAAGATTGATATCAAAACGTGCATCAGATGAAGAGAATAATATTAATTTTGTGTATTTAAAATTATTTAGATACTATTGATAGATTCAGTGCGGAGTCCTTCGCTTAATTGATTTTGTTGTTTAAATGGTACTGCGATCTCCAGGACTGTCACATTAGATTCTCTCCCCTGCACCACGCAAGTCCACATTGTCACCTGTCCACAAGGTGTCGCTTCAACCAATAGCTGTGTTTACCAGTCAATTCGTCTTCCACTCTACAAAGTTTCTGACCTAAATTTACATCGGAAATAAATGTGCAATTTCTGGTTTTGATATTTTATAAAGCCTTGTGTAAGTAATAATAAAATATTAGACCATTTGTTGACAAATCTGATACTAATCTAGCAATACTTTATTATGCATATAACGTGAATGCTCCAGACTCCAGGTGTGATTTGACAGTTAACTAACTAAATATTAGCCAAACATTTTTAATTCCCCGTTTCCACCTCTACTTTCACGTCTGACAACAAATGAACACACCACTTCCTGATTCGCTTTGTCTCATGGGCGTAAGATATAATATATATATATATAATCTATGCATTGATGAAAAAATAACTGGTGCTTGTTTTATAACACTTAGGACTTCTAAAAATAAGCTTTCTTAAATTCTTTTACGAGGACACATTCACTATTCACAAAAACTTTAAATATTATGTAATAGTTAATATAGGGCAACTGTACAGTTCAGTACAGTTGTAGCCCCGACAGTGGTGACTGAGTCAATCATCAATGGTTAATTAAATACTCTTATTAGTAAGCCTACTCATATAAGTGTCAGTGTACTGACTACTGTCCAGACATAAGTTTTTGACTCAATGAACCACCAGGTCCAACTAAAATTAGTAGAAAACTCGCATTCAGAACTCAAGTCAAAAGCCTTTTTTCAACATTAACATTGTGACTGTCTTTGAAATCATAAAATTATTATGCCATATATAATATAATATTTCAATGGAATTTGCTTTAAAAAATTTCTTTCCCAAAATTTAACTTACATTCCAGTTTTAGACATTTTCCTTATTTGCCTTGAAAGTTGTGCTTGAAAATTCTGCTCTGTAGGTCCTATGTTATACTACCAATGCTAATGTCTTCTTTGAATTGGAGCGAGAAATCTCAGTAAATCTGGTTTCAACTTTTAAAAAATGTTTGAAAAGAATGTCAATTTTTTATTTAAATTTTGTTTAAAATACAAACATTGTATTTCTTTTATAGATTTGTATTTAAAATCATAACGTCTAGCTATTTTAAAATTAAGTGTTAAACATGATTAACTTTGGAATACAAAGTCTTCTTTCTGATAAAATAAGTTTTAACAATTGTAAAGATTGAAGATGAAAGCAACATTTCTGGCATGATTATCAAATTGTCCTAAAACAATTATTACATATTTTTAAGGATAAGGGGCTCATTATCAAAAGAAAATGTTTGTGTGGATAAAAGGACGAATTATACAATTTTTACAATCATAAATGTGGGACCTGTGTTCAAGCTGTGTGAAGTAAATTAATAGTGGCACAAGATATGTTTTGGCTTGAAAATATTTAATGATGCCCTTGGTCTTGAAATATGAAATTTAATTTGTTCGTGTCACATGACAAGTAGGCCTACTGCATACAGATTTAGTAAAACTTAACAAAATTTCAATTTTTAGTTTTAAGTCTCTGCTGTTTCTTGTTTCATATTGCCTGCAGAAGGAGACATACAGCCAAAACGTTTGTTTAACGGTCCTGTATTTTCTTTTCAATCTTTATTGACATACGTCTCTTTTAAAAACAATATAAAGTATGATCAATGTTGCACCAGTAAGTCAAATATCTTAGTTAACACAGCCATTGTGATTAATTAAATAGACCTGATCTACGTCTACTTCATACATAAATTGTCTTATAGCTAGAGCAATACGTTATTTTAAAACTTTTTTCTACTCTTAGGATTCACATCATATTGAGTATGCTACCCTTTCGGTAGCTTTGGTTTCATCCATTCACTTTTAGATTTAAATAAAACATTTTAACAGCTGACAAAAACTTATTTGTGACAAACATAATGGGGATTCCCCTATACTTTCCCATGCTTATTTCGATTACTATAAGTCCTAAAACCAATTGCTAACCAAACTATTGTACCCTAACTCAGAAAGTTGACCATGCCTTAAAGTTAAACAGGTCAGATTAGGTTCCAACTAGTTTCACGATTGTACACAACCACCATAAAGCTTTTGTGCAAAGGGGTGGGTAAGGGCTCCCAGAGGCTCACATGCCAGGTTAAGAATGTAGAAACCCACCAGATTTGAAAAGAGGGTCACACATCCACTGTATTCACCAACCCCTGCCCTAGGCTGTGTGTCATGCATGACTGGTTGCAAAGCTACTACTTTGTGAGGAATGAATGTGTAGCTGGTTTAGGTCTGTTACCTCTGTCTCTGTTAAACCAATTTGTTGAATAATTTCTGCAAATCTGTTTAAGTCATGAAAGCTAGATATTTTTTCTGTCTTCTTCCATTTTTTTAAGGTGGGGGTATTTTTGAGTTCACCTTGCATATGTTTAAATTAAAGTTAATATGCTATAATTAACTGTCCTTGCTATGACATCTCCTCCTGCTTTCACCCTTATAGGGACTATTAACTATTTATGGTCAAATACACCAAGCCAAATTGACTACTCATTATGTCGTTATCCATTAATTTGTGATCAGATATCCTATTTATTATTTATAGACTGTTTTAATTGTAAGATATATCCAACTTTGGCTACAGTTTACTGTCTGCATTTGGAAGCTGTTTCATATGGAAAATAATCCTTTGTATTTTGCAAAATCTTTTTCTAACACTTTGTAAAGGAGCTACAAATGATGTAATTCATCTGAAAGAAAGAACACAAATTCACATATAACATAGCTTTTGTTATTTAAATATGATAATTTCTTTACCCACTTTATAGTATTTAGATAGGATTTTAAAATTTAAAAGGGAACAATAAAAATTAATTGTGTAAGTAGCATATAAAATATATTATTTTCTCTTTTCAGAAAGCTTGCTGATCTAGGGGGGAAGAAAGGGATTGTGTCTAAACTTGTGCAATGATTTAGCAATCTCTTTTTTATAACTAAGGATCACTGTTATAATGGTGCCTTCAAGTTTCTTACAAACACATATTTTTGGCCTTTCTTCATAAGATTAATTTATAATAACTGAGTTGCAATCTTTGTGCATCATTCAACATGATTATTCCACAACTCCTGCACATTTGTGTTGCTCTGATTGCTTGGTGTGGATCAGGAATTTTCTTGGCAGAGGCAGCACAAAAATACAGTGGTAAATCAAAATTTATTTTGTTAAAGTAGTTTACATTTTTACAAACAATACCCAAAAGACATGTCAATTTTTAATAATGCAATTATTATTGGAATGTGATAGGTACAGTTGAAAACAGTTCCTTAGTATTGTAAATTTTGTAAGTAAAGCTTTTAAAGGTGAGCGAAGGTGATAGTTTCCATTGAATAATCGTGAAAAAACCATTATATTCATGAAAGTGTTGTTTATATTACAGTGGATCTATCGGGACCAGGCTGTGATAATGCTGATGGCTACTATCTAAGAGATATGGATGATATTGCGTCAGTATTCTCCATACCACAGTACAATTCCATGGCCACCAGAGACCATTGTGATGTTGTCATAAGAGCAGATGAAGGTCGCAGGATACAGTACTTGATTGACATGATTAAGTTTAATGAATGTGGAGTTGAAATTTACATTTTTGACAATCCATCCATTGACAGCAATCCAATAGTGAGTTATATGCCATTTGCTAACTCTACCACAGACTTTATTCCATTACTAAATTGTATTTTATTTGATAATCGATCCACAGAAATTAAGTAAAAAACGTAAATAATTTTTTATTTTTTTTTAAAAACGGAGTTTTAAATTTAATATAAAAAATCATTTTTGTTGCAAACATTGAGTGTAAAGAAATTTTTAAAAAATCACTTCCGTCCCTGTGCAGGATGTGACACTTAATGACCCAGAAAGTGAGTCATTTCCATAATTAGATGAACTTTCATCTTAATATATTATTCTCTGGGTCCCAAGTTTGTGGTTTCAATGAAATTTTAATATGTTAATAAGTCATGACACATAATATGACAAGCTGGTGGTGATTGGTGTCATTTTTATATAAATAGCATTGCTTTGAGATCTCTTAAAATAGATGAACTTTCAACTTTTATTCCTCACTGTTAACATCTTTAGTTATAGATAAAAATAGTGCAAACTGTTCAATTGATTATTTTTTGTTGTTTCCCTTTTTACCTCTTGTCTCTTTTGTCTTGTTCAGCACTTGATAAAATGTTCTGATGGCAGCAAACCACCTATATATGGAAAATCAAAATACAACATCATTCGCATCAGGGTTAGGAAGGCAACACCTCAGTCCAGAATTTTTGAATTTAGAATGCAATTAAAGAATGATTTAGGTAGGATCACACTGTTTCATCTATTTAGTCAGAGTGAGAGATTTTGTTCAATTGTTTAGTTATAATTAATGCATCCGCATAAATAGAAGTTTAAAGAATAAGCTTTTACTATACATACATTTTGTTAAAAACCTTATTTGATTCCCATTTATGCCCTGACATTGCTTGTTGTTCAAATTAAACACAAAATTTTATAATGTATACAGGACCAACCTTGCAATTCGAGAATGCAGCATCACAATATGTCGCAGATGTCCTGGAACCTGGAGCCATTGCTGGCATTGGTGTTGCTGGTGCAATTCTTGTGATAGCTTTGATTCTCTTGGCTATCTACCTTTGTATTCGAGGACGCAGCAGTAACATGGATAAAGATGGAGTCAGCACGTATGGGAATTCTAGCGTGCAAACATCTGGTAGAGTTGAGCTTCCAAATTCTTCAGTAAATAACTCTCATCATCATTATGTGCCTTTTGCTTGTTTTGTCAGCACCATTGTTTGCTACAAAGCTCTAGGTTTTTGGTATTTCTCCTTATACAAAGCAAATGGAATGAACTGTTGAAATTAAATGTCTTTTTATTTGAAGGTTAATTGTAAAAAGCATTGATTAAATTTAGTAATGCACCTCATAACAAATAGAAAATGATTTGTATTTTTGTTTATCTTTATAGACACTCAAAGGTTTAAAAAAATATGATTAGTAAATGACAGGTTATAAATCCTTTGTTTCCTTGGTCTTTTGACAATAAAATTTGTATTATGTTTGATCAATTTCTTTTAAAAATTGGTTGGGATACTATTTCTTAATTAATACTGTTGATTCTGGCTAGTTGTCAATGTTTCGAAATTATTTGAAATTGACCTTTCAAAATAAAAAGACTTTTGATCCCTTCAACATTAAAAAAATTTCATATTGATTCTTATTCTATACCAAATTAACCCAGCTAAAATGAATACTGGCAAAAAAAATTTATATAATTCTCTCCCTCTAAGAACCTGCTTTTCAGTTTACACTGAAATAATTCTACCATAATTTCAGATTTTTTATTTAAAAGCCTATGAAAATTGTCCATTTTCTGTTGTTGAATATTTTAAATTGTTCATTAATACAGTATACTATATTACCGTATTTTACGGACTATAAGACGCACCTTAATTTTTAAGCAATTTTTTAAAAAAATAACATTTTTACAATTTTATATTAATTTCGAGAATAAGACGCACCTGAAAATTCAAAGAAAAAATTGCGTCTTATAGTCTGTAAAATAGGGTATTTGATGCAGTTGTGTCTGGAGAAAGAATTATATGGAGATTAAATAGATCAAAGGACACAGAATATCTGTATCACACACCATATGCAAGAAATATCTTCAAACTTTTAACAAAATGATTATAAATAAAAGATGAGCCTTACCAGATAATTTTTGAAAAAGCATAAATACTTTTGGGCTATCGTTTATTCCAAATTATTTGGTCATTTGGATTTCAAATAAAATTCATTAGTCAATTAAACACTATTTTTAGTGTTCTGTACATTTGTTTTTTTTCAAATATACATATATATGTTTATTTTAGTTTATCTATTGGTATTGACATAACTATGAAGCTCTAATATAATTTTTTTTCTTTTTAAGCCAATTCAAAAGTCCCCTTTACCCATGGATCAAATCATCATCCCAAAGGAAAGTATGGATCAACGGAGGATATTAGAAGCACCTCGTCCTCACAAGACAAGGCGAATGGAGCCTACTCCAACCCAGCCTACACCCAGGGACCCAACGAGGAAAGGTCTGAGCGATCGGCGTCGATCAGGCGAAAAAATGGCAAGACCGGCTTCACAAATGAGGCCTACGACCAAGAGGTCAATGGAAGAGGAGAATTATCATTCGAGAAGGAAACACCAAATATAAGGGGTTCCTTTAGGAAATCTCGCAAAGATGAGTTTGATACTGGGAGCAAGAAGCAATTGAAATCCGCAATGAAGAAACAGCCAACAGAATTTGAAATGAACAAAGTAAATCCTCAGCCTAATGGAATTTTAAAAACACGACAACATTCGCCAAATAGATCACAGACTTCATCTAATGAAGGCTCCATGGATACCAACACAATGATCCATGGCTACAGCCACACAGGAAAAGAATTACCTTATGTCACACACAAACCTGTAATTGAACGCAAAAGGTCAAGGTCTGGGACACGGTCCCACAGATCAGGCTCATCTGGTGGCCATGGATCTGTCAGAGGTCGTAGATCCCATTCAGAAGACAAGAAACCTCCAAAAGGTGGCCGCATGTATACTGATGTGTTTATAGATGATAGGAGGTCAAGAAGTCGTAGTAGTGGTAGGAGGGCCCAGTCAACTGGTACACGAAGCCACCGCAGTGATAAAACTGACCGCACTAGTGACTCTTTAGATAGTGAATCTTCCACAACTTCCCACTCCAGAAAAGTTAGCATGAACCCAGGAGGCAAACGAGTCCACATTAAAGGAGAAGAAACAGATATTTGACTTTTTTCCCAACAGATTGAGAATAATTAGCTCTTTGGGTTCTGAATCTTGCAAATGTGAAAATGTGCACATTTTATTTCTCATATATAATGGAGAGCTATGTGGCAGGACTGTCTGAGCGTAAAGATATACAGAGGAAAGAATTATCTTTTCTTCAAGACAAGATTTTTTTGCTTCATTACTGAATCTGTAAATACATTGTCCAAATTTAAAAAAAATTATTCTTGTAAAAAGTTTACTTGTATAAAGAAATGTATGTTTTAAAAAAAATTATGCTTCATAGTACATTAAATCTGGCTCAACATTCAGTGACTAAGTTTAAAAGTTTGTGCAAATAGATAAGTGCCAAGTCAATTAAGTATTTGAAAAAATTAACTCTTAAGCTTAACTGCTATAAAATATATAAAAATTGTAAAAATGTATGCAATGCAGTGGAACCCCTCTAAAACGCGATGATTGGGGTCCATAAAATTGGATCGCGTTAAAAGCGGGATTGCGTTAATGCGCGGTTTTACAATATTTAACTTTTTTCCGAGAACATATACGTGTATATATGTACAATGATCAAAAGTCGGCTTATCATCAGATGAATATTAACTGGAATGCATTAATTAAGATATATTAAAAATAATCCATGGCTAATATATTTATAGGTTATTACTGTGCATTTACCAATTTTTATTTGTTTGAACGATAATGGATAACATTTTGGGAGCCATGCTACAATCGCGTTATATCCGAATTCGTGTTATGGCGGGGCGTGTTATAGCAGGGTTCCACTGTATTTCAAAATTAAGGTACATTTTAAACTGCTATCCTTTTGTAAACATGCTAGACAAGTTTGAAAAGTAAAACTATTTAGGGAAAAATAAGAAAATATTCTCCTTCTTTTAAATATTTTTTTTTCTAATCATATTGTAAAGTAAAAAGTTTAAAAAAAATTTTATTACTAAAATGTAAGATATTAAAGGCTTAATATTTTTAATTCCTTAACAAATCCAAAATTTAGTAAAAAATGTATATGATAATTTTAGTGGTACTTAGGCATAAGGCATATTATATAAATAGTGTTTTTAATCAATATCATTTCTTGTAGCTAAGGTTAACATATTTCACAAAAATGCTAATGAATACCAGTTTCCCCTGCATCATTTATGTTCATGTGATATGATATTCCCTATTTATGTCCAGTTTCTAAAAATTACCTTGTTACAAGTGGCAGCTAAACCTACGGTAATTATTTTAGATTTCTAGATTCAATATCAATAATTTCCTAAAAAACTGGCTTGGCCAAGTAATTAGTTGAGTGCCTTCTAGCATCATAAACTAAGTTGTTCTGGCTTAAAACAATACCAAAGTAAATCTGTTTTTTATGTGGTTAAATTAAATAGTAAAAACACATCTGTGCATATTTTTCTAAGTGATAATTATAAAACATATATCAGACTTACTTTTATACTGATCTGAATATATTCTACAGAGCTCATAATTAGTTCACTTACCAGAGAGCCACAGTACAAAATGAATTTGAAGACATGAGCATAATAAATATAATGGATTAAGATTTATGATAAAACTTTGCTGTACTTATTCCAGATATTGGCTTATCGTGTACAGTTGTTTTATTTTTCTCCAGAGCGCAATTTAAAAAGAGATGTTATAAATGATTTGTTAAAACGCATTTCTTGTTTAGGTGAACCAAGTGTAAAACACTTATGTTCATTATTTTTTTGTAATGTATTAATTTACTGCCCTAAATGAGAAATTTAACTGGCCCCGGAGACACAAGCTCATCTTTTAGCTGAGTGCTCTGCACTTCATGTTGCGGGAGAGTCCAACATTACAGCGATGTTATATGGCATTGCTCAGCAGATGGAGCTGGTTTCCAATGTTCTAGCTAGGGTTTAAAAAAATGAGAATTTGTTTTATAAAGTATAATGAAATCAAGCAACTATTAACATCATGTGGAAAAAATTGTTTAGATCTACCTCTAAAGTCAGCAGAACTTGTCACCTTTAGGGAGGTTTCACTTAAATGCTGATACTATTCATGGTGCATAAAACACTTTTTTTTGTTGTAAAAATGTGGATGATCCAATATTTATTGCATCTGTATAGAAGTAGAAAACTTGAGAACATTCTTAAATGGCATTTTTATTTCTGGGAGCAAAGTTTGAACTTCAGATACATTCCAATACTGTTTAGTTGATGATCCAAGAAATGTTTTTCATTCTATAATCTGAAAGTGTGCTTTATATTTTAAACTGGCATGAATTGCTCATTTTATTAATATCAATTATATTTTTCCTTCATATTTCCATTCTTTAGAGACAATAGAATCAATAAAAAGGTCTCTCCTTGTTCACTCTGCACACTCCAGTTAAGAATAAAGCAATAATAATTTAGAAGAATAATAGCAATCTTCTTCTTTGATGAAATTTTGTTTCTGATTCTAAATAATTAATTTCAAACTAGATCCAACATGGATACTCAATGTGAGGTCATCCTCACAGGTGATTGTTGAAAGACATCTACTTCTTCAATTATTGTACTTCAAATGTTAAAACATTGTCTAGAGTTGACACTCAATAAATAACCCCAAAAATTGTGATACATAAAATGACATATTTCAATAAGTGCAAATGAAATTTAACACCAAGAAACATGCTTCCTACATTTTGCCATTCTTTGACAAACTCCTCATAACCTACTGGCTACATCCAAAACACAAAAACACAATGAACGAAAACCTAGAAACAAAGTTTTGAAATAAAACTTGACAGGAAAACACACCTAGGAAACAAACTATGCACAGTAATTCCAATTTTTTAAATGATGCAATTTTTCTATGGAAAGCTCTATTATGTTGGTTTATTGATTGGTTAAAAACTTACTTTATAAATATTACTTTTTGCAGATGAAATTTTCACAAAAGAGACCTTCCACTAAAAATTAATTTTTGGTTCTATGTATTTGATGCAACCCACACTGTTTTAATATCGTTATATCATTAAGTTCCAGATGCAATTTTTGTTTTCATATTTTTAAAGTTCATTACAAAAAAAAAAAAAAAAATTTTTTTTGCAAAAGAAATTTTCACAAAAGAGAACTTCCACTAAAAATTAATTTTTGGTTCTATTTATTTGATGCACCCCACACTTTTTTAATATCGTTATATCATTAAGTTCCAGATGCAATTTTTGTTTTCATATTTTTAAAGTTCATTACAAAAAAAAAAAAAAAAATTGGTCTATTGTTTCATAATGTATCTATATCTTCTATGATTGCTGTAATATTGTTGTTCTATAACCATATTTATTGCCAGGTTTCACATATGACGGATTTACAGAAATTTTCAGTTATAAGTACCATATTAAAAAATTACATCTGAAAATGTTGCCGTAATGTTTGACACCTTTGTGCAAGACCTTATTATAGATCTATGTTTGAGCGAAGTAATGTTGAATTATGCTGTCTTGCCTAAAAAGCCTATAAATTTTCTTCATGGTCTGAGAAATTTTTAATATCATGTCATGTTTTTTTAAAAGAAAAATTGTATTAAGGACCATCCCCGACTGATTTCATTCATCTTAGGGAGAGAGGGGGTCAGGAATAAAGTGACAATGTATAACTTTTGTGATTTGGTGGTGGGGTGGGGTGTAAAAATCGTCCAAAAATGGCATGACACCATCTGGCTATAAAAAAGAAAATGATATTCCCAGCTCCCCTTCTTTCACCAACTCCACTTATTCTTATATATATATTTAGAGCATGGATTAAAATTAAATTACTTTTTCTTAAAAAGTTAATGGAGATCAGTGATACTTTTTAAAATCTTTATCTTTCAAATTTATAATTTTAAAAAACAAATTCAACTTTTGTTTTTAGATAAATGAAGTAAACGTTGACATTTTTTTAAAAAATAGGAACAACATATTTTTAACTATTCCGAATTGTTTAAAAATAAAAAGAAATTGTTCCCTATTTTAAAATTAATCATAGAAAAACAACTTCAACGTGCAACAATAAAAATAAAAGCAACTCTGAATCAAACAGAATATTATGATTTTTTTTTCCCCAAACCATAAAGCTTAATTACACCAGCAACAGACTGCCAATATGTCTATGTAACAAAGTAAACTGGTAGTTTGGTGGATCGGCAGCTATCTCAAAGAAAATGTATCAGTTTTATGACAACAATGATGTGATTTTTTAACTATGACAGTAACAATTCTTCCATAAATTTTGCATTTGTGCACCACCCCTCCCCCTTTCTTTTCTCTCTTCCCAAAGGCACTTACAGTAACTTACACACACAATATCATAGGACGGCTCCCACTCGTCTACATTGTACCATAGGTAAAATGAATTACTGTTCCAAAATAGTAATTTGTTAGAAACTTTGATTAAGATAAAATTGCGTTTGAAAATCATATGATTTTATAAAAAATTATTCCAATTGTTTAAATCTTTATTGATTTCTATTTTGTAGGTGGTTTTGATTTTTATTTAAAGAAGTTTCTTAAGCAAGCTTCTTTAATTTTAATGACAGAAGTAGTATTTCTATAGGTCCCAATAGTTCACTGTACAATTTACACAGCCCTTGGTTGAAAAAAGTTGCTGGAATTTTTACTATGAATGGTCAAGTTTGATTAGATAAAATGTGCACTATTGAAAGGTCTGGCAGGATATTATTTATGGTCAAGTTTGATGAGACTAATTTATAGACAATTAAGTGAAATAGTTTGTTTTTTTTAGAGTCAAGTTTGATATTTCTATTTTAGTTTCATGCTATTGTGTGGACTTTAGGAAGTGGACAAGTTAAATATGTTCACAGACTAGAGTAGAAAGTAAATAATAATGTACCAGTAAAAAACGTAACATTTATTTTTAATAAATGGGAACTTGTGCCCCTTGACAGATATGTTCTATTTGACTTTGACAATGTATTTTAAAAATTGAGTAAAAATAAGTTTCTTGAGGACAGTAGATCAAAAGCATACTTTTAAAAGTAGTTCTGTTGTCAGTTGTCCACTGCAATCAAGCCCAGCTGCCAGCTTTTAAACAGTATAGAATGGCTCATGAGCCACTCGGCATACTGATTTGTAATAATTTTGAAGGGTTGCCCTTATTTTCATTAACATCACCATTAAAAGTTGAGATTAAATCATGAAATTTTGTCAGTTGTAAACAAAAAGAATAGGTTAAAACATTTTCACGTGTTTCTGTTTCAGATTTTTCCTCTGATAACAGAACTCCAGTAATGGCCATAAAGGGTCTACATTACACAGGTGATGAGAAATGCCAGCATCAAAAGATCTGATCATAGGTCAATTCTGTACATTAATGTAAAATCTTTTGTCATTTTTAAAAAAAAATGGCAATTATTTATATGTACATTTTTTTTTACTTCTAATAAAACATATTACTAAATATGTAAACTGCTTCTGAACTCAATAAGTTATGCAAATATTATTATGTACAATAGAATAAAAGTAAATGACATGTTCTTTTTAAATGATTTTGTTCATTTAATTTTTTTTATTATTTAACATTGTTAAATTAACATTTGTAGCAATGAATTTAATAAAACTTTACAGATATTTACTGTTGCTTATTGCCATTATGAAGTTTAAGTATCTTGACTCACTGCTTGATAATTAAGCAAATCAAACTTGTGGAGTTGAATCAACACTTAAGTTCTTTCTTCAACTTCTTTGTGATTAGCTAACTCAGTATATGCTTTTAATGAACCCCTGGGGTGGCTCTGTTATATGCAATGTCAACAGGGAAACATTATTGTTAGTTCCAAATACCAGACCAGTACTCAATAGGCAACAACGTCTATTCTGGGTCAATGCAAATAGAGGCTACAATGCATACATGTTATGCACAATCCTCCCGCTACCTTTCTGCTTACACCACTGATCCATTGGTCATTGTATTTTCCTATATTCTAACATATTTCTTCTTCCATAGGACACTAAGATTACACCCCCTCCCTCCCCATACCCTTTTATATGAGGGTGAAAAAAATGATACATCTGTATTATTACAATGGATCTGCTGGTGTTTCATTGTTACGACTTCAATAACACGCATTGTAGACAGATCAACAATCCTGTTAATGATTGATTCAAATCTGGTTACAACTGAGATTGGTGACACAAACATGTGGTTACAACTGAGATTGTTGAAAACAAATGAGGCTACTTTTTTGGATTTAGTGCTCAAATCCCAAGTTGATTTTATGGGCTTGGCGTGCAGGTAGACTGACATCCTGTCTCATCACTTCAGGGATTTTATAAATATAAATAACAAAAACAAATGTAAATCAAATATTTAAAAAAATGAACTTTACTTTAAAATTAATATTATAATAATTAATTATTAATAATATATTATTTCTACATCTCAGTTTTTTTGTTGGGAAAGCTCAAAATAATACCGTTGTAATTGTTAAAGTTCTAAATAATGTGTTTGTTTTTAAAATAAAAATAGTTCAACATATGCACAGAAATTTGAATCACAGGTGATATAACAGTTTGTATCAAACAAAAAAAAAGTTCTAACTAAGGAATGTCAAAAATAGCCACATTTTTTAATAGAAATATTTTGTAAAATGAGCAATCGATTCTCAAATTTAAAAAAAAATAATTTTTTAGTAAGAGTTTTACTAATGTTACAAGATGGTCACAACAATGTATAATGTTACTGGCCTGTAAACTTATATACAACAAATAAAGAAGGGCAGATCAAGTCCTGGTATTTTGCAACAAAACCAAATCACAGCAAAAAGCTATATGCAGTGAAAGACTGATTTAAATGGTGTTTAAATATAATAAACTAGGAATAGTTTAATATAATTTTCATGTTTGCTTATAAGCTATGTAGCATATCCTTTTTGCTTTTAAGGATCAATTTTGTCACCCAGAGCCTTTGTGTGACTTTTGGTGCCCCCCCCCCCCCTTTTTTTTTTTTTTTTTGTGCCCCTGTCCTTTAAATTTTTTTTTTTTCTCTCTTTAATTTTTTTTATTTTTTGTTCCCCCCCCCCCCCCTTTTTTTTTTCAGTTTTGGGCCCCGTTCATTCAAATTTATTTTGTGTCCACAGTACATTTTTTTTAAAAAAAGTGACGCACAAAATTTATAAAAGAAAATCTTCTTTTGGTGCATTAAAATATGTTTGTCGTGGTGCTTTATATTCAATTCTTTCATTTCTCAAGTATATAGTGACAGCATTAGAAAAAGAAGCATATTATTTCAAAGGTCAAAACAGCACATCAGACCTGGAAACTATATTTTAAATGATAAAGCACTTTTATCAATTTACACAAATGGCAGCTCGTTTTATGAAAGTTAATCTTGAAGAAAGTCTGCTTTTGTTTTTCATTTTTACTTGTATATTTTTAATTTATGTTATTTTTTTCACCCTGGAATATTTTTAGTCAACTGATGTGTTGTTTTGCAGTACCAAATATACTCACATTATAGGTTGTACTATTTAACCAAATATTTCTATTAAACTTAGGGGTGTGAGATCAACTTCAATTTCAGTTACTGTTATTCAGTGTGGAATAGACTTTATATGAAAAACCAGAGTATCGTTTTATACCCCCTTGTTTAAAGTTGTAATGGAAAAGTTATGTGATGACTGTTAAACAAATATCAGTTATATCTACGTTACAAAAGAACCATGTAAGTCACAAAACTAAGGGTGCAACCTATCCACTTGAGCGACAAATACATGAATATGTGCTGTATATATTTTCTAGCTTTAACAGATCTCAAACGAAAAGGATATTTTTTTATTTCATCATTAAAAAAAAAATAATCTATGGTTACCATTGATGCAAACCGGGGTATTTATGCTGCTTATTTTGTTTCACTTTTTTCTCCCCATATTTCTATGAACTTGGTCTGAATAAAAGGTGTCACCCAGAAGTCAGCCAATTTTTATTTTTAGTTTGAAGGTTACTAAAACAAATTAGGGGGCAAAATGTGTGTCCCGTTTTTATCCTACAACCTGCAAAAAAAAAGTAGTAGTATTTTTATCGCAGAGACTAATTATACTAATATTTTGTCCACATCACAAATTAAGGCCCCTTTATCAGCCATTGTCCCCTGCAGCACTAGCTGGCACATTTTCAAATATTTCTTTAGAAGTGAGCAAAGTTAGACACATTAATACAAAATAATACAATAATGTAAAACAGTAAAACATCAAGTCTAAATTAAAGCTTGAAAGAGTTCACAGTCAAAAATAGAAAAGGAGTTAGCAAAATTTGAAACAATGAAGGCACTAGCAAAGAGTCCTAAATATTATTTTTAAAAACAAAGAATAACCTGAAAAAAAATTTCAAATGTATGAACAAACTATTTAGTCTGTTCTTATTATTTTTAACAAAATAATTTTGAAGTGCTTGTTACATCAAAGAGCAATGTCTGGCATGTTTAATAAAACAATTTTAGACACATTTTTATAGATTAACAGCTCAGTTTTGCACTTACTGATCATGGTAAGTTTATGAAAACTGTCAGGTTCATTTTCAACAATTTGAGAAGGGAACCAATATGTATTGACTTCTAAGCTAAATTTATCTGAAGTGAGCAATGCCACTAAATATTTTAACCAAGTGAGGAAGGCTAGTAGGAAAAAGTAAGTACGGAAGAAAGCCTAGAGAGGAGGGTTAGACAACCATAAGAACAAGTTGGGCTGCCTCAAAAGGAAGGTGGGACAACTATAAGAACAGGTTGAGCTGCCTAAAGATGATCGATTGATTGATTGGATATTTATATAACGCTGGTATCCATGCTACTTTAGCATGCTCATTGCGCTCTGGTTTTCTTAAATTTAAACAAAAAGTTTTTAAATGTTTCTTAAATGATTTTTTATCATTTTCAATTTCCCTCAAAGATTGAGGCAAACTGTTCTATAATTTTGGCGCTATTGCTTCAAAAGAGCGCACTCCGTAAGACATTTTTCTGTGTTCATCCACACTGGGAATTTTTAGTAAAGACTGTGTTGAAGACCGCAGTTTCTTTAAGGATACATATTTATAAATCAGTTTAAGATATTCCGGTGCAGAGCCTTCTATGCAGCTGTACGCCAGGGACAGAATTTTGTAGTTAATGCGCTCACTCACAGGAACCCAATGGAGATCTCGTAGAACTGGGGGTGATGTGGTCAGATTTCTTTATCCGCGATACAATGCGTGCTGCAGTATTTTGTACCTTCTGGAGCCTCTAAATTTGGTTCTGAGGTAAACCCCACAAACAACTGTTACAGTAATCTAATCTTGACTGGATTAGAGTTACCGCTACAGCATTGGCTGTTCTCTTATTGAGTTAAGGACGCAGCTGACCCAGGGCGCACAGATGACAGAAGCATGCCCTGACCACAGAACTGATATGGGGAATCATTCTAATTCATGTAATTCATGTCTTTGAATATGAATAGTTGAACTTTTGATAATTAGTCAACTAAATTAATAGACAATTTCAAAGAGGTGATTATAAAAACTATCCCAAGGGAAAATCATATTGTATTAGATCATGAAATAACGGATTATATTTATTCTCATTAGAAAAATCTAAATGGAAAAAAAATATATATATTTCTTAGCCATGATATCCTTGTTCATATATTTTAAAAGCAGTAATGACGATAAGAACAATTACTTTTCTAAAATAATACGGCACAGAACTCAAATAGAATAAAATGTTCTACAGCATTTCTTCCTCAATCATTTCTTCAAAGATAAACTGCTCCGTTTCAAATAAAATTATAGTCTAGCTATGACACATCATTAATTAGAGAAACAAGAATCATCAAATAACGAAGCAAAAATATGAAGAAAAATCAACATGAGAACGAAATTGTTAGTTATCACAGAAAATCAATACTGTTTATCTTATCGAAATATAACACAAATGATCTTTATCTTGGATAAAAAAAAATTTAAAAAAACAACTTTGTAACATAAAAATATTTAATATATATATGTACAAAACTTGAAAAAAAGCTAAGAAAAAAGGAGAAAAAAAAGTGGAATTGTTTTACATTTAATGTATATTTTTGTTCATAATCTTAAAACTTAACTAAAGATAAGGTCTATAACAAAACTTAAACTCAAAAATTAGTTGAAACAAAAATATGCGAATGATACTCCATTACAGTCAACACAAAGTGTCTTGTTCAAAGAAAATTAAACGAAAAAAGTAATAATTATCTTCATCAAAATTTGTATTTTTAAACAAAATTAAAAGATGTATTAAAAATCCAAGCTAGTGTATTTTCACAAAGACAACACCAGTTTTTTCCCCTCTTGGAGTAAAAAATAAAAGAAACATAGCACTTCACTTGTTTTCATTTTATACTTCTCTTTGCAACAAATTTTATTTCAGACAAATTTTATGTCCTGACTTGGTGTGTGACTTTTACTCAATATTTTGTTACTCATCAACTTGTTAAATTTCATAATTAGGAAATACCTAACCACAGAGGATGCATGTTAATTGATAAAGAAACAAACACAATTGATCTGACTCAACTAGTGTGTGGCACCGTTGAACTAGGTCTAGTGATGATAGCAGCAATATCATATCCAACTGGTTTATTCTGACTAAACAAGACAGCTTAAAAAAAAGACAATTAAAATACAAACTTACTGTATTAATTAAGATGGAACATGATGAATTTTCTACACACACCTGCACAACTAGAATCCAACTAGTTTTTTTCAGATTAAAGGCCCCCTTTAGACTTATCTCTGTACCAGTTGTTAGCTTTTTAAATTTCCACATATCTTTCATTTCGGTATATTCATTATTATATCTGGTTAAAATTAAACTAAGAATAATTCATGTATTTACTACAAGACAATATCAAAAAGGTAATTATGAAAACTTTGCCAACAGAAATTGTGATCATTAAATTAATTATTAAATAAAATAGTTATTAACTTTAAAAAAAAAAAAAAAATTAAAGCAGTATTGAACATGAGAATAATTACCTTTCTTAAATGCTAGAACACAAAATTCAAATGGAATGAAATCTTAATTCAAATAAAATGAAATCTTCTGAAGTGTCTCTTTAAATGGTGCACTTTTAAAACACACACTGCCCAGTTAAGCCAGTCAAGTTCACATGACACATGATTACAGTAATAAAAATACTGTAGCTATTTAATAGCCTTTTGTGATTATTATTAATAGAGCTGTGCAATTATAAACTGTGTGCTTATTCATTTGAATGAAATGTGCAATCTCAGTAGAATGATTAATATTTTCTAAATGAAGCGTCTCAACTAATCGACTAGATGTGTCTTAACTTTTCTCCTCATAAATGTTTCAAATAAGTAGCTAATAGAAGTGTCTAAACAAAATTCCAACAAATTTTTTGATAAAATGACCCTGAACGTTAAAAATAACGCTAACTTTCAAATAATAATAATTAAGTGCATAACTATTTTAAGTAGGTGAAGAGAATACGTGTATCAAAACTGTAGTCATGCCCTCCCAATAGCTTTAGGTGATAAATTGTAAAAATACAAACATTATAAACTGACTATGTGAAGTAACTTACAAACAAAGCACAGCTAAAAAGAATTGTAATTTGTCTTAACATGCCACTGAAACTTAAGACAGAACTATCACAATGATTTGAGAAAACAATGGGATGGTGTCTCTTTTCCCTTTGCAACTGCATGAACAAGACCACCATAACACATTTATGGGATATTACTGCTACCCATGCACCAGCAGTCCAGATAATTCATTATGGCAGTTAAAAAGAAGGCAATATTATCTACAAAACAAAGAAATGTTTTCCTAATTGTTTAGGCCATCCAGATGTAGGATTCACACAGAATGGCAACTGAGAAATCTTTAATTGAAAAAAGACATTGTGATTTAAGCCATATTGAATCCCCCATTTTTGCACTAAGAGATAATCAAAAACCAATTGTGAAGATAATAAATGAATCCCCAGGAAGGTAATCTCTACTGTCAAACATTAACCTGAAACCACTTTATTTGTTATATTTTCACAATATTTGTCAGTGATATGATTTATTCAACATTTGTAAGATCAATGCAAATGAGTGAAAAGATGGGTGTCTAATTTAGAATACTTAATTATAGCATATGGTTATTGATATATCCATTTTCATGAAAATCAAGATAGTGGCTTAGTGATATGAATCCCCACCCCCCAACAAAAACTTCTGCTTCATCAGTTACATATATCCTGCTCTACTTGGACAATAGTTCTTAAATGTCTTCTCAGAGCAAACTCTGTTCTTTGCTCCCTTTCACAGATTCAAGCCATATCACACAGTGGCTTGTTCCAGTTACATTAATTCCTGCAATGGGTTTTTATGTATTTTAAATAGAATTATTACTTTCATTAAAAAACTATTGATGAAAATTGAAACCCACCCAATGAATTTCATAATGGCACAATCTGATTGGGCAATTTCTTCTCATCATGCCACAAAGAGAATGTTATTATTATAAACTTCTAGCATTATTTGGAATCACCATGACCTTTATTTGGAATCACCACAATCTTACTAGTGTCGTGCTGCCAGATAAACCCCCAAAAAAGATATGAAGTACCATTTAGGTTAATGGGAATGAACATATAAGAAAACATTGGTAGATTCTATGTCAATTATACTGTAAAGGGTTTTAAAAAACATGAGAGAAACATTGAATACAAGTGACAAGGAGTTAACAAAGATGATGCAAATACAATTTACTATAAATAAATATAATTAAATAAATAACAATCTGCAGGATTCAATCAGACTGATAGAGACCATTATCACAGAGCTTTTCCTTGCTTCTCATAGTTTCTACAATATTTATGATTGAACTCTTTTCCCAACTATAGACAGTACAGCTAGACCCTAGACCTCTAATAGTTTTTATATTTCTATAAGATGTAACCAGATCACAGTGAATTTGAGCTTACTCCCACTCATAACAATGCTGTACAACTGAATGAATCATGAAAAATAGTGTTTTTTAATCGACATTTCTTTCAAATTACTCAATATCATCATCTTCATCTTCATCACTAAAACTGCTAATGAAGCGCCGGTGCTCTAAAAGGCGCCTGAGTTCAGAAGCCACTTGGCCTAGTCTCTGACCCAGTTCTCGCACCTCCTCAAGCTGTTCTCGGCGCTGGCGTTCTCTTTCTTGTTGGAACTGAGCCATTTCTTGGCGGCTTCGATCAAGCTCACCTGAAAAAGATGTCATTAAGTTATCCAACCTGCTCCTGCTTTCTTGAAGACGATCTCTAATTTCCCCCAAATTCTCTGAGGGCCTTGGCCTTCCACTGACATTCAGTGACATCGCTTCAGGTGGTTGGTATCGGTGGGGCTGGGGTGGCGGATTAACTATTCTTGGAAGTCGTCTCATATTAACAGTACTGGAGGCTGTTCGAGGTCCCGAAGGTGGTCTCGGTGTAAGACCACTGCCACCTGAAACTGTGCTATTCTCTGTAACATCGAGCTGTGTTGATCTCTCTGACAGAGGAGGAGACTCATCCTCAACATTGTTACTACTGTCAATGTTTGGTCCTGTGTGGCTGAAAGTGATACGATTATAGCTGGCAGCCCTTGTATCAGGTATTCTCCTTAGAGGGGGTCTGTTGTGAAATCTAGTGCTTGGGTTAACATTCGATCGTCTTGGTAGTTCAATGACTGTTTCCTGACTAGTACTACTTTGAGAGCTTGGGCTTTCAGGAGTCAATGTGCTGCTACCAAATAAGGAAAACCTCGGTGACATTGTGATATTTGCATCTGAATTACCGTGAGTTGAGAGACCTGTACCAGAAAATCTTGTATTGGTTAAATTGATGTGGGGAGAGGCTTGGGCAAGACGAGGCATAGTTGTAACACTACTATTATCCTCATTACCAGTATTTGCTCCCCCATAAGTTGTGTGGCGATGAGAGGCAAAATATTTAAGAAGGCCTGTCCAGCTGCAGGATTCAATCAGACACTTCACTTTCTTGGCACCTATTCGTTCATCAACTTCACTGTTTCGAAAATAATAACCATGAGTCCGACAGACTGGACATCTGATACGATTAGCATACTGACCAGTTGTTGACCAAACAAGAAGGCATGAATGGCAAAACTTATGGTTATTCACACACTGCATTGTTTCCTTTAGAACTTGGTAGCTGCAAAGAACATTTTTAAAATTGTGAAAATTAATAAAAAATTTTCCTGAACACAAATAAAAAAACTGAATACAAAATGGTGATATTGTTACTCTCCATAAAAAATTGCTCAAAATAAAATTCTACATGTTGCTTACATCATTTAGTTGCTTAAAATAAAAAGTGATTAGAAAACTTTTCCAGCTTTTAGTGCCACACTTACCAAATGTTACAGGAAAATTCATCTCTTTCATCCTCTGTTAGATCTAAGAAGTGCTCCTCTGGATGTCCCCCAGGTTTGACAATTGGTTTTGGTCTCCGCACATCTCTTGCAGCCAGTGTTAACATGGCTTCAAGAAGAGCCATAAGGCCTTCTTCTGCAGAACTCATTTTGTAGCTAGTATTCTAGCAACCCACTTGGCCAACTGCAATTAAATAAAATGGATTCTTTTTTTTTTTAAAATCAATTGCCAATATGAAAATTGAGTAGCCAACAATTAGTTTGCAGTCAAAATGATTATTAATTAAATTTAATAAAAACAACATTTTTAATGGAGTCTTTTTTAAAACTTTTTTTTATATAGGGCCTATATTTAATTACTTTCACAGATATTTTTTGAACGTCTGATTAGAATTTGAAATATTAGAAAAATAATTAATAAAAAAAGTGTAGGCTATCTTCCTTGAAACGTACAGAGATCACTATTGTCGCGTAGAGTAAGTTGGCAGGCAAGAAAAGTTGGAGACAGGCAGTGAGTAGTGCTAAGTACTACTACTAAGTACTAAGACAAAGTCTTAGTACTAAGTAACCACCAGCCACCAGGAACACTGAAAGCTTACATTTACATTATTATTATTTACATTTTTGCAAACTGCTCCGTAAACATTGAATGTCTAAATGATTGATTGATAATAATAATTTCGAAACATATTTAGGAGATTTAATTTCATTCTTAGCTGAGCCGCTGAGCCAATTCAATCAATTTAAAAAGCTGGTAAATGCAAAAACTTGAAACTAATACTCAAAATAATATTTCTAATTATTGTCAAGGGCTTGTTTGCAAAGAATACCCCTCAACGACAACTTCCGGTGTAAATCCTGGATAGGATATAAACGCAAAATTTAATCTATAAATTATCTGTAAACTTGAACTTATTAGTTTAAATGGAAGCATAATTGTTTATATCCATTTGTTTCGGTGGCTCAGTAGAAAAAATTATTTTGATAGGACGAACTAATTAGTAATTTTTCCGTCCTCCCAGTCAAATTGGATTGATGATTTCCGTCTCGAATCACTTCCCTGATTAGACCCGCACCTGGGAAGAAGGGGGGGGGGGGGCGGACCATGGCACTTGTCAGGGGCCCAAGATAGATAGGGGCCCGCCCCTTTTCGATTAAAAAAATATATGCACATGTTTGAAACACAAAAGGGGCCCGACCTCTGTCAGATGTTTAGACCCGCACCTGGGAAGAAGGGGGCGGGGGGGCGGACCATGGCACTTGTCAGGGGCCCAAGATAGATAGGGGCCCGCCCCTTTTCGATTAAAAACATATATGCACATGTTTGAAACACGAAAGGGGCCCGACCTCTGTCAGATGCCTGGGGCCCGCAGTTTCTCCCTGGATTTGTCACCGTGGCTGTTGACTTCCCCCAACCTAAACTATCACAGCCACAAGGTCTGCTGACTTTTTGGCTCATGGTAGAGATTGTTTGAAAAGTCCACACGCTGAAAGGGAGAGAGAGAAATGGTGCAAACGTATGTTTACAACGTCCTCGGTTCTAACCTATAAGAATAGGCCTACAGTTTCCAGAGCTTTATACAAATACAACATACTTTATCTAACACATTAAATTATTTGAAACATTCTTGAGCTAGTTTAATTTGAGACCATAAGTATATTATGGAAACTTATTGATTAACTATAAAAGAAATAAGAAATGGTTATTGATTACGGATTATAATAGTGTATCAACTATTTTTATATTACCAGTATAATTTATAATTGTTATAGTCGAAAGAACCATTAAACACGGCTCAGCTGGATTTTATACATAGAAAAAAAGAGAGGAATAAAAAAAAAGAAAAATGTGCTTTGGATAAAATCTAGAAATATAATTCACTGGTTAATTTATTTATGCACCAACACCCCTCACATTTTGACTTCTCTTAAAGGCATTTTAGAAAATGGTAAAACATTTATTTTTAAGGAGTCTAAATTATAAATTCTCTAAATACCAGGTACCATTCTATACGTCTGTAACTGTAACATCTTCACCTTTTTAAGATGGTCTCCACGCTTTTACTGCAAAATAACAATCTTGTTGCTATCGAATGCTTGTGTGAATTCTACACATATTGGTTCGCCCGCGATCTCTAAACATCACCTACTAAAATTTCATAACTGCAATGATTTGGTTATTGGAAAAAAAATATTATATTATTTTTATTGCATATTTTCTTTTCTTCGTTGGTTTTTTTTGTTGTTGTTGTTGTTGTTGAAGATAAATACTAAATACATTTTTTCGCTTATTTTATTTCACTGAAAATACTAGCTAGACAAAACAAAGGCACCCCCTCCCCCAGAAACCGGAGAGTTTCAACATTCATTCAACTGTCTTGTGCTTTACTCTTCTCTGCACTGCCATTGTCAACTGTCTCGTGCTATAGGCCTACTCCTCGCTGCACTGCCATTGTCAAATGTCTTGTGCTATACTCCTCTCTGCACTGCCATTGTCAAATGTCTCGTGCTAATCTCTTCTCCGCACTGCCATTGTAAAATGTCTCGTGCTATACTTCTCTGCACTGTCATTGTCAACTGTCTTCTTTGCTTGCACATATAAAGTCTGATTTTTCCCAGGTACCAATGGTGGTTTCAAGATTTAAAATTTTGAAGAAGAGAGCAGAGGATGGACCAACAAACATAATATCTAATGTCTTGTTGTTTACATAATTGTTCGATATATTTTCAGCAAATGTGTGCAAAAATCCACAATCTATTCAAATAGCTTTCTCGTTCTTTCTTTTCAATAGGGAGTGTAGATCTGCTTGAATTTCTGCAAAATCATTACATTGAGCTCTGCACATCATTATGTCCAGTCTATCAGTTGCTCGTTTTTTTTAAAGAATGTCAGAAAAAGGTCATCACCTCTCTCTCCCTCCCCACTTTAAAGTTAAAAATCCTAACAACTCATCTCTCTTCAACTTTACCCATGTGGAGTCTCACACATCCGATCACCTCAGTTCATTGTGTGATACCGGTACAGGTAGGTCAGTTAGTTGTGCTACCAAAAATGTTTCAGTTTTCAAAATGCCTCATGCTTTTCTTCTTTATTTTTATATATCTATCTCAAGCATCTATTTCACATCATTTGTCAGGACATATATAAACTAATTCCCACTCTCAGTTTTTTGGTGTAAGATGAGATACATATGATTTAAGCCTGGTGGCATCTTATGTTTAACTTACATATTATAAAACCAGCTGGAGCGAGCTCTGTAAAATTTGAAATTTTCATTTGGTATCACCCGGAGCACCAAGCACCTCTCTAGTGTCGCAGTTGAGTAAATCCACCATCCTATTGAAGCACCCCCTACTTTCTGTGTGTTGTATTTGTGTCAAGCGAGCCCTTAACTACATAAGAAAAAAAGAAATGGGTCGCAGCTTGCCACACCATTGGTCGCAGCTTGCCACACCATAGGTCGCAGCTTGCCACACCATGGGTTGCTGCTTGACACACCATAGGTCACAGCTTGACACACCGGAAAAAGGTGATTTGAGAGTATCCCTGTCTCCATTCTTCAGACCTGACCCAAAGGACATAATGCAACAAAACCCTGATTAATTGTTAATAGTAAAAATAACATTCATATGCTGCATGTGTGTACACCATGGAGTGGAGAAATATATCAATCTTCATATGCTGCATGTATGCACATTGTGGAGTGGAGAACTATATCAAACTCCACATGCTGCATGTATGTACACTGATGAGTGGAGAAATATATCAACCTTCATATGTTGCTTGTATGTACTGGTACCCGGTACACCGTATAGTGGGGAAATATATCAATATCAACCTTCATATGCTGCATGTATGTACGGTACACTGTATAGAGGGGTAATATATCAATCATTACAAAGTCATTACAACTTCGACTATTGTTACTATTTCTTAAAATGTGTATTCAAACAAATGGCCTTTCATCTCAAGCCACCTTTAATGGGAGGTTGCAAAGGGTTATTCTGGGTTTCTTTCAATAGTTCTCATAATGATAGACAATACTTGACTTACATCACATAGAATTTAACACTCATTCTTTCTTTTTAGAATAATTTAAAATAGATTTTTTCTATACAGCATATCATAATATAGATAGTCGGTAATTTTCTATATAGAATGTCATAATAAATTGCCTTTAGATTTAGATATTTGTTCAATCGATTAACATAATAAAGTTATTTGTCCAATTGTAAATCAGATAGATATTTTTCAATAGAATTTCATATCAATATCAATGTTTATCCAATGGAATGTCATAACACCCATATTTGGCCAAAGCCAATATCCTAAAAAAAAATATGTAAAAATGTTTTAAAATTAAATTGAGAAACTGACTGCATTTCTTGGTTAGAATAGTTAACATCTCAATGGTTAGAATAGTTCAACATCTCAATAAGTACCGTATATTAAGTTTGAATGTGTACACAGTAGATGTGTTTTGATAAATTAGCAGCACACTGATATTCAATAATATAAAATTTGATATGATAATCTTTCACCAATCACCTGTGTTCTGCAATTTACTTGAGAACTCCTATATATTACGATCACTCAGGAGAATTATATTTATTGTAATTTAGGTTTGAACTTTTTTGATTTCAGTTCAATCTAGCCACAATTTGAATGAAAAATAAAAAAAACTGGAATTTATAGAAATAAATAATACCACTGTCTTATGCTCATTGAATTAAACTTACACTTGCCTGAGACTAGGACTAAGATATACTGGACTCATTTCTAGAGCAAACACGCACTTGCCTGAAAGTATTATAATTCAAGAGCAAACTTGCAATTATTGATATTGTAGAGCAAACACGCACTTGTTTGAAACTTTTTCGACATTTGAAAATAAATTAATTAACAAGAATGCACAAAACAAAACAGTTTATATTATTTTTAATATTATAAAAGATTTAATGTCATAAGTTATCCATAACATTGACATTTAGCAGTATAAATATATTTTAAAAACCAATACATTCATCATTTAACAACACATACAATCTTTCACAATAAAAATTTTACAGACATAACAGATTTTCATCACATTATTTATATATTCAGCTTGATAACCCATGATTAATTTTAATTAATCATGATTAATTGATAAAATATTTGTATCACCTATTGCCTATTTTGTCAGAAAATAAAACTTTAGCTCTCAGCTGCTAATTTTACTATTGTTACTACTACAAGATACTGATAAAATATCCATCATGGAAGAAATACCACAGCACGAGCAGCTGTATGGAATGTTTCCAGTACACGTCTGATGAAATCACTTTTTGCACATCTGTGAATGGTTAATTTACATTATTAATCAAGTTCACAATAAACAAGTACATGTTGAATAATTTTTTTTTGAATATCAGGTAGAAATGGTTGAACTACACGTGCACATGCACTGATGGCTCAGGCACACAAGCCTCAGGAATTCATGTCCAAAGGTATATATGCCCCAGAGATATATGGTCCAGGGAAACATACCCCAGGTCCATATGGCGCAGGTACACATATCCCTGGGTACATGCTAAAGGTACACATGGCCAGTGCTGGATTAAGCCCTGCTTAGGCTCCAAGGCAGTTAAAATTTTGGGGCCCCCCTCTCACAAATATCTCTTTATGCCACTTCTGTCACG